ATGTCTTTTTATTTTTCTGAGTTGTTTTATTTCTCTTATACTTGAGCAGTTTTAATGCATCATTCTGTCTAGACATTTTTAGAAATAAATTGAAAGTGTTTAGTTATCTGAGGATGTGAGCTAGCAAGTTTCTTTCAGAGTCATTGGCTGAAACATCTTGCTTGCTCTTTTTCAGAGTAAGTGGTGGAAACTATCTTTAATGCTTAGGAATTCATTGTTATAATCTCAGTGTTGCAGAAGAAAATGAATTATTGGGGGAAAAAATCTTGATTTTTTAAAAGCTGGATTCTTACAATGTAATATGGTCCTATTCATTATATTGTACCAACTAAATTTTTTGGAAGCCTTCAGAACAAGGGGTAGGAACAGAAGTACAGCCCTTGTTACAAAGAAGAGAGTTTGTTTTATGCTCCCTTCCTAACATGGTAAACTTACCCTTTAGTATGCATTATTTCCTGAATCAATAAATAAGCTGTAATGGAAAACGTAGCATTTAATAAGGAATGACATTGTATGGGTTTTTCTTTTTACAGACATCATAAAATATTGATTCTGCTATCAGACCTGTAGGAGATTAGTTTAAGTTGCAGAAACTGGAGAATGGGGTCAGTTCATGTACATATTTTTGTTATTGTAACTGTTAAATATGTACCTTTAATTAATATATTTTTTTTTCCTAACTTCCAGATAAATCATGCTATTCTGAGGAAAAAGGAAACTATATTAATGAGCATCAACTCCATAATTATACCTGTGGCTGCATAACAGGGACACAGCCATGTAATTTCTTTAGGCAATAACTTTTGCAAAGAAGTATTTTTAAACTGGTCATTAATTTTATGACCATAGAAATGAGATGCAAAATTTATGCTGTTGTCATTGGCATGGGTTCAAGGCACTACTGACATTATGTGTGATTGTAATGGAATGGCTGCCAACTAATGAGTCTATAGACATTTTGTTTGAGCATGCTTTGCTTTTAGATGTTTGATTAGGCAGCAATGCTTTCAATTATGCCTGCAAATTGTATTGAATACATTTACCTGATACCCATTGTTGCTTTGTAGTTCGGTTTTCTATTACATAAGTGCAAGTTGAATGCTTTTCTTTAATTTATTGATGCTTTTTGGGTGTATTTTTAGATACTTGGCACCTGAAGAGAATAGTGGTTTGTGCTGCTCAACACTGACTCCTCTGACTGTTCAAGGAGTAACACATGGAGCTTCAACTGCAATTTTGACTGCTCTTGCTCTGTAGGTGGAATATAAATTTCAGTGCAACACATTGATGGAGGAGCATGTAAAGTGGAGAAAAGGCAGACTGAGATCGCTCTGAGTGGGAATGTAGGAGATGACATAGGATCAACAGGAAACTTCTTTGTGAACTGTCAGGAGCAATATCTGTATATATTAACAGCATACAGTCCTAAGATATCTTTTAACCCTGACAGAACTAGGAGGCAAGAACCCCAAGGCTGATACCAGAAAACAGTCCTTCTTTTATGCCAGTACATAAACACATTGTGAAATGTTGCCTGTTCAAACTCCAGAGCATAATGAGTCAGCTTTCTTATTGAAATGCCTGCAGTTCTTCTGTACAAATTAGATTATTTAAGAATTGTGTTTCTCAGTGTATAATATAAATTGATGAAAACTCTTATTTATTTGCTGCTATTTTTTTTATTCTAAAATAAAAAAATGGAGGATTTTTTGTTTAATCTAGTCCTGCATGAGTGCAGGTTGCTTGTACCTCTATTCAGTGTCTGCCACCTAATCTCCTCATTTTTCATGTAAAGTGTGGATACCTAGATGTAGTATTATATGACATAGGATTTATATTTTGGGTCTGAGTGGCTTTCTCAGTGAGGGCTTTTTTCATTGAAGTCTTCAAGCCTTGTTTAGGATTTAAAATCTAGAGAATGCTTTGACAAATGTAAAGCATTGAGTGTGTAATTTCTTTCTTCATAATACTCTCAGCCCTTTTCTTTTTTTGGTTGTTTTGTTTTAAGAGCAATTTGAATTTGGATGTTCTAGACATAAAACAGAAATTTGTTTTATTATGAATCTACATTCAGTGTTGCTATGGTTTTTGTTGCTTCAAATACAGTATATAACTGTGTCATGATTTTCATGCCACATGGCAACTAAAGCCCATATAGTCCCTCACTCATTTGCCCCTGCTGGGGTAGAGGAGATAATCATAAGGGTAAAAGTGAGAAAATTCATGGGTTGATATGAAGTTGGTATAATAGGTAAAGCAAAAGCTATATACAGAAGAAAGACATAAAAAGGAATTAATTCATCACTTGCTGTGGGTAGACAGGTGTTCAGCCATTTCCAGGAGAGCAGGACTTGATCACAAGTAACAGTGATTTAGACAAACATCATCACTCTTAATGTCTCTTACTTCTTTTCCCCCCAGCTTTATATGCTGAGCATGGCCTCGTATGGAGTATTCTCTTGGTCAGTTGGGGTCAGCTGTCCTGGCTGTATCCCCGCACAGCTTCTTGTGCACCCCACCCCACTCACTGGTGTGGTGGTGTGAGAAGAAGAAAAGGTGTTGACTCTGTAAGCATTGCTCAGCGGTAACTAAAACATGCCTGTTTTATCAACACTGGTTTTAGCACAAATCCAAAACAGAGCCTGGTACCAGCTACTGTGAAAGAAAGTAACTCTGTCTGAGCCAAACCAGCACAATCTGGGATAGGTATATGGAATGCCCTAGATATGTATGTATGTATTAAAAATTCCCTTGTTCTTAGGTCATCTGGCTTTTATATGGAAGCAAAGCACAAATGTTTACTGAATTGGGAATCCTAAGTGTAATTGGAAAATGGTGACTTAGTGGAAGAGCAAGGTAACAGTGCAGCTTTGCAAACTTATATAAGAAATTATGTGTTGCTGAGTGGGACAAAATCCTCTGGACATGTTCTTTGTACTATGTGTATACTCACCTGCTTGTCATCCACAAGTCTTATTCATTCAAATATACTAAGGTTTGCCATTCAGCCCATGAATTATATGTGCTGGAGTGTGGTGTTTCTGGAATTGTTTTCTTCTAGAAATACAGCGTAATATTTTAAATTTATGCTGGCACTTTCATGAAGGTTCAATGATAACATGTTTATACATAGCTAATAAGAGGACATTTTTGATTGACAACCAGGGCTTACATATACACGTATATTCTATGCATTCTAGTACTAGTAAAAGTTTAGGACAGGAAAACAGTGGAACTTTTGGAATGGAATGGAATTTTGCCATTGTATAGGTTGTGAGTATCGTGTTTGCTTTTTTTATATGGAGTGTATAATTTAATACAGATATATATATATAAGCAAAGAGAGACAGGCACCTGGTCTCTGGATCATGCTAGTTATAAATAAGGTATAATGTTTTCTGTTCATGTGCTATCTGTTCTGTATTTTTCTACTTGGAGGAAGAGGTGAATTCTAGAGAGAAATAATTTACTTTTGATTGGTTTGACAGGTGTGATGAAGTGCAAATATTTTGATCAGATTAACACGATGACTGGAGTGCTACTGGGAGAGGACTGTGACAAAAATAGGTTGGAGTCAGGTTCAGATTCAGAGCAGTTGTTAAATGGCATGGGAGCTTGGGAAGAAGCTTTCCTAAGAAAAGCATACTAAATTAATGAAGGGAAAGCCTAGCTAGTGTTTGACGACCTTTGAATGTAAAAGAACTCCAGCAAAACAAAGATCAGATATTGTTGTTTTAACTGCATGGAAAACTTGCTGGTTTTTACAGCTGATTTTTCTGTCATAGTCTCTGCATTTTCTGTGTATTTCCATTATTAAATGGGAAGGGGTAAAACTTAGCCATGGTTAGGCTGTCCTACTGATGAATGCAATTTCTGCACCTGTGGGTGCAGAAGAAGAATATTTTCACTATGCATGGGTTTATTTTGGATTCTTATAAATTAGTTTTATGATCCAGTGCTCCAAAAGGGAACACATAAATAGAGAAGGATATTTGGATGTCTCTGGAAAGCAAAAGACAATGCTTGAACAATTTAGTGTTATATGATTTTCAAGAAATTTGAGGGCTATTTAATCTATTGGAGTATCAACTTCAGGATTCTGGTCTGACAATTTTTGTCATATTTATCTTTTTCTCCTTCACAAAGATTTTACTTGTTTTTTTTTAGGAGCAATGTAGTTTGTTATTTTCCCCCCTCTTCTTTGCCCATATGTGTTAAACATATCTGAGAAAATACACGGAGTTTCAGGAAGAAGTTAAATTTTGCCTAATTAGGTGAAAGCCTCAACTAATATTGATTTCACTATATCTTTCCTAGACCTTCTTGCTTATGTATGACACTGATCAAAGTGCATCAGATTAACTGATAATGTAAATTTTGTATCTGTTGTAGTGGGGGTCTCAGTTGGGTAAGAAATTCATTAACAGAACGCTGCATTAAGCCACAGGTTTATACCAGGTGCTGCCAAGCAGCTATTCCACTTCTAGTTTCATGGGAGGAATACACACAGGGTTTTGCAAGGCAGTGCCTAATTACAGTGAAGAAAAGTAAAAGTGGGCAGAGGTCACTGCTGCCAACAGTAGTTAGGCATTTCCTGGGAGGGAGGTTGCTGCAGCTGCATCCCACACTAGGACAGGCAGAACTCCAGAGCCTAGTGCTCTCCTTTTTTCCTTCTGCCAGTGTTTTCTCTTTCCCACCTCTTTGCTGTGGTGTTTCTTTTCCCCCTCATGAGAAGCTGCCCGCTGTGCAGTGCTGGGAGCAGGTTCATTGTATGACAGCATTTAGGGAAAACGCTCCAACAGCATTTACACATCAGGTCAGAAGGTAGCCCTAGAATGGCATTGCTCACAGCTGAGCTGGAGCCTGCCAGTGTCCATGAGAAACAGGAATTTTTTCAGTTCCAGATAGGAATTAACATCCTCCTTACTATTGGAAGTACTTTTATCTTGTGTGTTTGTGTGATAAACTATTTAACTAGCAATGTGTATTGACTTTTACAGAGCTGGAAGATGAGGAAGAGTCTGAGAACTCTCTTTCTTCGCCTCCTGATAATGTCTCAATAGCATCTGACCGATATGATAAAGAGGATGAAGGACCTTCTGATGGTATGTGACACTGTTTACATTAGAAAGTACTAGATTTGCCAGTTTGCTATGAGCTGATGTAATCGGATCCTTGTGATGCGAATGTTAGTGTTGGAGAACAGATAAACAGATAAGCAGCACAGCTGAACACTTTTCTTACCTTTACAAGAACCTTTAAAGGAACTGAAGAGCTCTCTCTAGTGGTCCTAGAGCATAGTGAAGCTGTCTCAAATTTACCCAGTTTCTCAACTCACATTTTTTTGATAACAAAGTATCTTCTGTAGATACATATGTTTTAAAAGATACATCAGTGGCTAAACCAGTGTGAATATTTATAATAACAAATTGTTTGTTAATTCAACATTATCAGATTCTTGCTTAATTTTATTGTGCTACTTAATAGCTTACTGTATTATTTATCTAATAAATAATGAAACAGTTTATGTGATTGATATTTTTCTGCAAACTCTATGCAGAATAGGTTCATAAAATATTAAATTAATTATTCCATCAGTGTTTCCTTCCATTAAGACAGTGTTTTGCACTATGTTTTTGTTGTATCAATTTTAAGTTTGGGTCTGCATTTAGGAAAAGTCTACATTCATAGCTGTTTTCCATGTTGTTTTGTTTTGTATTCATTAAGTTCAATGCTAAATGCGACTGTTCTGAAGACATGAACAATTGAATATTTCAACAGTTAACAAGGTTGCTTTAGCATAGTGTCCATATTTTTGAGATTAGTTTATTGTATACATAATATAAACATCTTCTATGGATAATATATGGCAGTAAATTAAGTACATGTACAAATAAATTAATGATGTATATTAATTTGTGGCACTGGAAGTTAGATAGACTTACTAGTGAATGATGTTTTCTGACATGATATGATGATCAAACTGTGCAGCTCCATCTCGAAATACAATTGCTGAATGAAAATATGCTTCCTGCAATGTAGCACTCCACATTTTATATTATCCAGATTATTCCCTTTGGAAACATAAATTGCTTTTATGAGGTATAAAATTATGTCTATTGCAGAACAGGGATAAGTCAAGTACATGCATAAGTGATAAACCTTCTAACCACTGATTCAGAATAATGCATTTTTTTTATGTCCAGAACTCTGTAAAATGTATAACAATAATAATCACACTTTTTTTTTTATATTGAGCTTATTGCATGTTGGCAGTGTGACCTTCTACTAAAAAAAGTAAAACTAGGCCTTTTTGCTGTCTGGTTGAAATGTAATTATCATTCAAATTGAGTATGGCTTTTAGAAAACCCAAGCTAATTTTCAAAACTACAGATGAATGCAACTTTCTGTGTGTTTATTTTTGCTTACAAACATAATCTTATCATTATTTCTAATTATAACTTAATAACGTGGTACTGATTGCATAAAGGGTATGTGACAAAATTATATGACTATTTAATAGGAGATACGATTATAGAATTGTTTCAAAACAGTTAATCAAGAGAAAAGTGATAACGTTCATAACCTAAATAATGAACGGCTGGAGAATGCTGATGCAAGAGTATGTGAAATACTGTATGAATTTGTACAGATGGGTGATTAATTTTTATCCTGTTTTGGAAGTTATGAGAGTAGGTATAATAGCTGCTCAAGGATATCTTGACTAATTTACACCAGTTTAGGCAGAAATATAGAGGGTATGATACTTTTATATTTAAGGTGATTTTACCTTGCTGTTTTTTCTGTATTTTATGATAAATCCTCTTTAATTACCTAGTGGGAGTGTAGCATGAAGAAAATTTGAGAAAAGGTGATAAATTCTGACCTGTAAATACTTAATTTATTGGAGTATACAGTGTTCCTCTTTTTCTCTTTGAATGTCTAATGTGTCATTCTAAGACCATTTTGATTTTAATATATATAATCCATCATTCCAGTCTAGCCACCTAGCCTGTGTATGAAAATATATGTTGGGAAAATCTTATAAGAGGTGGATTGATCCCCAGAGGTGCCATTTGTTTCAGTTCTAATAGGCATAAATGGGTTTGTTGAAGCTTAATACTGTATTTTAGTTTTTTAGCAGTCTGTTAATGTTCAATATTTAAATCCTATTCAAGGAACTGGATCTGTAAGATGGTCTGTGGATGTTTGATCTTGTATAATTACCAGTTCAGTTCAGCAGGGCTCTGTACAGATCTAAAACCTGATTTGTGTAGGATCAAGGCTCTCAGCGTTAACAGACAGCCCTATCTGTAGGTAACCAAATTGAGGTGGATTTTATTTATGTTTGAGTCCATTTCTATTTTAATGTAAAACCTTCTACATCTATTTTCTGCTAAAAAGCCCCAAGGCATTTCTCTTTATATACTTGAGTTAGGCTGCAAGGTTTGTATGACTTGCCAAAGTGTCGCAATTTGACTTTGCGGCATTACTGTCAAAACATAATTTGTGAAGGCACACGCTTGGTAACAGATAAAGAATTAGTGTATTATGTGTATGTTACAGTCATTGTAAAATCCTGGAGTTTTTGTGTGACCTTTGTCTAATGGTGTATTAATTACAAGAGGGATAATCCATTTAACAATAAGTATGGGATAACTAAATTAGCACAGGTCACCTAAAGGCCTTTTGTCAAATCTGATTGTTATGTTGTCCTTTTGACTTTTACCTTATGGTAGGCACTAACAAAGTATCTAAACTTTGATGGATTATAAACTCTAAACATGATATGTATTTTTCATAATGCTAATGTAATTTTCTAGGTACTGAAAAGGTCAAACCCCCACGTCTCTGTGTGCATTCTAAGTCTGTCTTTCCTTTTAATATTTCTTTTTCTCTGTTCCTCTGGTTCAAAAGTTCACTCAGTTCCCAAATGGCCACCTAATTTTCCAGTTATTCCCTCAAGCCATATGTGTTTTGGTTTCTTTATGGTTTATTAGGTACTGTAGGAAAGTAGCATAAGTTATATCATCTAATGAAATTCAAGCACACTTCAGTGATGCTTTGACTTGATTGCTGGCAGCAATTAAATCACAATGAAAGAGAATGATGCATGGGCTTACATGTCCAGACACCCTACAGAAATTGGAAGAGGGATAAAACACAACAAAACCCCCAAACAAAATAACAAACTGAAAAACAAGACAGACCAAACAAAACAGCACAGCCAGGCACTCTGGTCTTAACTTGATTTTTTTTTTTATTGGCTAACAGCCTGATTGATAGCAAAATCATAACTTGCTGTATGCTAACAGGCAGAGTTCACTTGTGGGTTATTGTGAGCTGATAAAGGGTTAGATGGAGTTTTGATTTTCGCATTGGTCCTTGGTGCACCAGATTAATGGAATTTCAATGAGAGACTGGAGTAGTCACAGCTTTGTCAGAAAAACAGATGGAGATTCTATAGCCATGTCTGCTCATTAATACCAGTTGCCTGAAAGGTGTACTACTTCTCTATACAAAAGACTCAACATAATTGATTTTTGAGCGAGGTATTTTTTCACTTATTGATGACTAGGTTTCTTGCAACTTAAATGACAGGTTTTTGTATAGTACATTGTATAACAATGTTATGTCTTGTAATTTCTTACTCCCCTTCCATCTGCGTATTGAAGAATATATGCAGTGGGAAATACATATGTCTTGATTGTTAAAAACCAAAGCATACTTTAAAATTGTAATACCAAGATTTTCTTTCAAGTTGGAAACAAACTTACTTTTGGTTGAGAAGTAAATGGGAAAAAAGTTACTATTTTTCATTTAATTTTCAAATTTCCTAGGTATTAAATACAGGTTCAATGGCAGGCTTGAACTTTCCTGTTTAATAACACTGTAATCTTGTTTTATAATATATAGGGATTATTTTCCTTTATTTTGGTTTATGATATGGTAACCTGATTTTGTAGTAAGAAATGTCACTAGTATTAAAGGACCAAGCTTTGACTTTGTAAGTGGACCTCTGAAGAAGACATGTGACTTTGGTTCTGCAGGGAGTGTGTCACTGGATAATTACTGGATCTAAAAGATCACAGTGAATGGTGTGATGAAATAATTTAGATCATCATCATTTCTATGGAAGGTGTAGAATGTTGCCTTGAGAAGGTAAGGATGAAAGAAGTACTAAAAATGTGTCTGGGGACTTGTATGCTCTTCAGATTATCACATTTGGCTATAGTTTATGAATAAAATACGGTTTTTAGTAGGACATTTTTAAACAGTCTGAGAATTCTCTTATTAAATTTCCCCATAGTTGAAGTAGAGGAAGGTGGGGCTGGAGCAAGGGAAACTGGGCACTTGGAGATTTTTGAGGAAAAAGAGTAAATGAAAGGGTTGTGCTTTAACTGTTTGTCATCAAAGTGCAGTCTTGAAAATGAGCAAAATTTATTGCTCCTGTGACATGATTTTCTTGCTGTAATTTTTGGATGAAGCAACAGGCATCAGCACTTTGTTTTCATGTAGTTTATTTGGAAAAGTCCTGTACAAGTCTTTGCAGGCTGGAGTAAACTATTTTGCATGATCTATAGTATTTACTTAATATGAGCATCATGTTTTGCAGTTTGATGGATCAAGTGAGAATGAAAAATTGTGTGACTGAATTTTGCATGCTGTTTCTTTTTACATGTTAAGTCTCAAATACAAATACTTATCAAGCTTTCCCCCCTCTTATTTTTGCTATTTGCTAGGCCAAGTAATTTGAATATTGTCACTGAAGAAGGCTGGTAGAGTTCAGTGTAAGGTTTTGCCTTTGTGCATACACACAAGTGTTTTCCCACTTCCAGCAACTACATTTGTACTGCGTTTATTTTTGAGGCACTATATTAAAGCAAAACTGTTCCTCAGTTAGGCACTGCTAGCAACTGAGGTATCAAAGGTTGGAGAATGGAAAATACAACTAGGAATTTCTATCCTTTCTCCTTTTGCCCTTCTTATCCCTCCAGTCTTGGTATACCGCTTTTTAGTAACATAATAATGTACATGGAGAGGATGTTTGGTTGTCTTGGGGATGACAGCATTGGAAATTTACCTGAGTTATTGTAGGAGATGA